TTCCGTTACCCGCTTCCAATATTGCAAAGTGTTTCTGATACACAGACAGTTTCAGACTACTCTGGTCTTTAAAGTCTGAATTGCAGGTGTGCTACAGCGCTTCCATCCACCGGCATTTAGATTCCTACAAAGATTCCCAGCCTTGCAGCAGGCATGGTCAGAACATGGATAACCACATGCCAGATGTCACCAAAATGTTCATGAGTGATCTCTTTTATTAGACACTATCGTTTATGAGGTGACCTCTTCTGTTAGACACTGTAGGGTATTTTTCATCAGAAAAGCACAGTGAGTAAAATGTGCCTCAGTTTTACTGAGAAGAGGTCAAGAGGGAGTAATATGCTCATGAAGTACTAAAATCATAGAATCATGGAATTGTCTAGGCTGGAAGGGACCTTTAAGATCATCTAGTCTAACCATCAACCTAACTCTGATAAAAAAACATCACTAAACCATGTCTCTAAGCTCTATGTCTACCCGTCCTTTAAATATCTCCAGGGATGGTGCCTCAACCACTTCCCCGGGCAGCCCAGTCCAATGTTTAATAACCCTTTCAGTGTAAAAATCTTTCCTAATATCTAATCTGAACCTCCCCTGGCACAACTTGAGGCCGTTTCCTCTTGTCCTGTGCCACGAAATACTAAAAAGTACTATCTGCAGCACCAATTGTTTTAACTCTGTTAGTTCAATCACACTATAAACATATAGCAGTGACTACGAATTGTCATTCTGCACCTAGTAGTTGTGTTGTCTTAAAATGACAAAAAGATTGTTTTGCAATAAGCAATTTTGCACTGAATTAACAATACCTTTAAGGAAAATCGTGGGAAGTTGAATAGAATTCTAGTAAAGATCACTATACCCTTCCTTTTGTTATGGGGTAAATTTGCTGTTGCAGCTGATGTATCTTTCTGTGCTCCAGGTATTGTAAAATCCAGGAATGTCCAGAATTGTGGAATACAATGTTTTGTACTTCTTAAGTCCCATATTTGTATACAAATATGTAATAGTAAAGCCTAATTTCATGGAGAATTACAAGCTGCTATACCTGCTATACCCTTCAATTCAGTATTAGAAGCCTCAGGGGATAATGGTTGAAATCTTTAAGGGTCATTCGTAAGACAAAGATTGCTTCTCTGAGACACCACTTAGTAGAGGTTTCACTGCCTGCCTTCAATTATGTATGTATTGAATGAAGTACCTTACCCTAAAGTAAAAGAAGCTATAAAAAGTAACATGTGGACTTTACATCCATACAATGATGGATGGGAAATAGGGAAGGGAAATAGGATGGAATATGAGCATAAGGATACTCCATCTGATCTCAGATGCAATCATCTTTTCCTGTGAAAACTGAATATTACATCTTTAAATCAATTTTAGGCAAATCATACTTCAGTAGAGAAGTACTGTGTGGATGGAACCAGAATATTTTGTTTACATTGGTTTGTATTTTTCCATCAGTCAAATAAATCATTTGAGATACTGAACTGAGTACGCTAAAAAAGAGTGTTTTGAAGATGAATGTGAAGGGAGGATGGACTTGGTGAAGTCTTTCACATTCTGACTTTGTGATTTACCTTTGGAATGATGAGCGTGATTTTACCAGAGTCTGACAAAAACAGATCTTGCCTTAAACTTTTAAGGGAGACGGTCTGTCTTTCTTTTTGTCTTTCATCAGCACCTTTTTCCAGGTCAGTTCACTGAGTGTGCCTTGGCACCTCCCAAACTACTAGGTTTTAAATACTTATTTCAAAAATAACATAGGTTGTGAAAATTACCTGTTCTTTGGATCAGATCTGTTTTTCATGGCATTCCATTCACTTCTGAGCACGCCTCTTTATGCAGCAACAAAGGAGACAGGCTCTTGCACTCACTAAATTGAGAGATTTGTCAAGATGAAACTTAAACCGATGTCTGCATCCCTACAGCCTTGCAGATGACCCACTACTACAGGTCATTGCTGAAGTGTGAGCTAGAAGTAAACTATTAGAAAATTCATTTAATTTATTTGCATATTAAAGGTATTTGATTTTTTGATTTGTTAAATTTTTAAGGCAAACAAACCGAAGAAACCCACAAGTTGTTTGCTGCTTTTTAGAGTATAGTCTATTCTAGTCTATTCATGTGTAAACATCTCTTCCCCATGATTTGCTCCTACGCTCCAGCATCCATTGCTTGAGACAGCTAAACAAAAGAACTGTCTCCTCCACTTCTTTCACGCTGCTTAGATCATCCACAGAAGCCGTTAACATCTTCCTCTAAAATGTGCCTCAGTCATATAATACAAAATCGCAATCATTATTTGAGATGCTTTTTAATGATATTTCCAGAGTCACCCACCAGTCAGGATTGGTAACAACTTTAATGAGTCTGAAATGCCACAGTATTTTGAGTGACAAATACAGATTTTCACCTTTTTTCTGCTGCACAGGAGTGTTTTTATCATCCAAGCAGTCATCCAGCTCACAGGATTATCTTTGAGACATTCCACTTCTATTTCAAATGACAGCCCTGTTCTTTCTGCTGGTCTCAAAAGAATGTAAAGAGTGGAAAAGGACTTTCCTGAGTTCTTTTTAAAACCATCTCGGAGCAAGGCTTAATGTGACCCCATCAGCCAGTCTGACCTACTTTGAAATTCTCACAGTCTGACTGGAAACCCCTCTGGACTTTAAACACTTTTTTTTTTCTGTCTCAGGTCAAACCTTTGTTGCTGAGAATATGAGGACATCACGGGCTGCTTTTAGTGTGTGACCTGTACGTTTCCCATGCTCTAATGCCCACCTCAGCATTCATAACTTGGCAATGGTGTGCAGTCTTAGAATTAAAAAAAAAAAAAAGAAAAGAAAATGTAAAAAATTGAGCTGCATTAAAAAGATGGAAAATTATTTTCAAAGGAAAAAAAGAAAAAAAGGATGTGCTCTCTGGAAATAGGAAGAATTTTCAAGGTCGGATTAGAGAAAAGGCTCTCTAAAAGAATTTTTCAGCGTTGTTCAGAATAAACAAGAGATGACATCTGATTAGTTCTGGCAGAACTGGAATAACGGCACTTCTGAAGTAAGACAAAAATCTGCACGAACTTGAAGGAGGTAAGTCAAAGACAAGAACATTCAAAGAGGAAGAGCCCAAAGGAAAGACACCAGCGAATTTGATCACTCTGGATCTGGGGTGCTCATTCCCCCTGTATTGCCTGCACCCCAAAGGAATTAAAAAAAAAAAAAAGAAAAGAAAATGTAAAAAATTGAGCTGCATTAAAAAGATGGAAAATTATTTTCAAAGGAAAAAAAGAAAAAAAGGATGTGCTCTCTGGAAATAGGAAGAATTTTCAAGGTCGGATTAGAGAAAAGGCTCTCTAAAAGAATTTTTCAGCGTTGTTCAGAATAAACAAGAGATGACATCTGATTAGTTCTGGCAGAACTGGAATAACGGCACTTCTGAAGTAAGACAAAAATCTGCACGAACTTGAAGGAGGTAAGTCAAAGACAAGAACATTCAAAGAGGAAGAGCCCAAAGGAAAGACACCAGCGAATTTGATCACTCTGGATCTGGGGTGCTCATTCCCCCTGTATTGCCTGCACCCCAAAGGTCCCTGAGCACGCATCTGCCAAGTGTGTCCTTACTGGTGCCCCCACTTTGATCCCCTTCCCACAGCCCCCGCAGTCTGTGGAGGAGGTGCTCTGACAGACGCACAGCCGAGCGCTGCCTCTTCATTCTGCCGTTCAGACATTTCACGCAAGGAGTGAGAGAGTATTTCTTATGCAACACTGCAACAGTGTGCCAAAGGAATGATAGGATCACAGAAGTGTCTGGGTTGGAAGGGACCTTTCAGATCATCAGCCTAACTGCCAAAACCACCACTAAACCATGTCCCTCAGCACTGCATCTACCTCTCTTTTAAATTACTGAGTAATTCAACTAACTTCTAAACACCTTCAGAAGCCTTTCAGCCCATTAAGTAGACCCGTAAAATTGCAGCCCTACTCTTTCTGCCCTTCCTTGTCCCAGACACTGTATCAGCAGCTTACACGATGCTGGTATTTAGGGTGATCTGTGCCTTTCCTCTAGTTCCCTTTCCAGTTCTGCCCATTTTGCACATTTCTGTATGCCTTCAGTTCTGCCTCCCCCACCAGGTGTTTTTCACCCCACTCTCCTCCACTTTCACCCCTCCTTCCCCACACTGGTTTCAGAGGTTCTTCCCTCCTGCCCATCACCTCGTGCTTGGAAAGCTGCACGAGGACATCCTTTTTCTCCTCCTGTTCAGTTTTGGAAAAGCCAGAGGTGAAGACAAGGGGACATGGGAGGAGAGAAAGCCAGAGGGTCTTGGGAGACAATGGGAGGACTCTAAACCAGCTCCTGCTGAGTGCCCTCCTTCCTCCTCCAGTGTAAAGAGGTTGGACTAGCGATTGCCTGAGGTCCCTTTGAACCTGCATTTCCTTAGAATCTCATGTTTATTTTACCGTTCTTACCAATGTCTCCCCATCCTCCCGCTGTTCCCTATAGTTTGGATCACACTTGCAAGACAAGCCAACCCCTACTCAACAGAGATTAAAATCTTCTAAGATCTTGTAACAGGTTTACTTGTTCTTAGTGTTTTGTAAAGGTAACTTGAAAGATGGAACCTCCCAAGGTAATAAAACCAAACACTTGGAGAGCTGTGGGATAACTGTGGGTGATGCGACAGCAAGTCCCAGTTTAGCCATCCAAGGAAAAGAACAGAGGGAGCTTATAGGCAGCAAGAATAATGGAATTAAATTACAGGAGAAAGGAACTTAAATTGGGGTCAGAAGGAGCAGGGCTGTCCCTATCGACATGGTCTCTGGATTACTGAAGGGGACAAGTGATAGATAGTGCCATCATTTGAAGCATTTAAACACTGGATAAAATGGCCTTAGCAATTCTGCAGCTGTTTGAGAGGGGTAGGTCTCTTCCTCTCTATGTTGCTGGTTTGTAGGAAGAAAAGAAAAAACCAACCAGAAACAAATCATCAGAGGTTTGTTTTGTAGACTGTATTAAAAAATCAATTTCTGAAAAGCTTCAAGTTATTACCACAGATAAGCAATAAAGCCTCAAAAAACCCCAAATCAAGAAAGTCAGTATTTTTCTCTGGGTTTTTTTATAAGACAGTGACAAACAATAGAAACAAATGCTTCAGACTTACCCAACTAAATATAAAAAATTCCATATGGCCTCAAATCATTCAGGAGCTAATTTCACAACTATTCCTATTAAATCCGAACTGCTTGGTGCAGCGTAATGACTGGAGAAGCAATTTCAGAAAGCTTCAGGAGGGAAAAGCTATATAAATGTAAGGGATGGAGGTTATGAAGTATTAACATGATGCTAAATTGCTGCGTCTCGTATTTGCAATGGGCAGTTTCCAATCTGTTCGTCCTGATGGATTGAGCGCGAGGGAGCCTGAAGCCCTGGCTCTGCCATTCCTGTCTCTGCCGGGTAATGGATGGGTGAGTTGTGCCCACAAATAACGCCTTAGCGCCCAACGAGCCCGCGACCCGGCTCAGCCCAAACGGCTCCACTACACTCAGAGGAGCAGTAATAAATGGGAAGTAAGGAAAAGTTCCAGGAGATAATGAGTCTGAATACTAATGACACAAGCCAGTACAGAAGATAGAAATGCAATTTATCAAAATGTACGAAACCCATTTGGTGCCTTAATGAGTTATTAAAAAACAATAATGACTTCGTGGTTTGAAGCCAAATTACTATTTTTCCACATTTTTTTTTCTTTATCCACTAAGATGTTGCAGAATTTATGAAGGCCTTCCTGGTTTACTGCAGGAATTAAAATGTACTGCAGAATTCTCTGCTTCTATGATCCTTCGGCCACCTTCCTCAACAGCCAGAAATCATATCTTTTAAGCATTTTAGTCACCTAGAGCATTAAACAGGCTGAAAAAATGTGCTCATCTCATGAAAGTAGAGGATTGTTTCTATTTTTAAACAGCCTTTCTTACCTGTGGAGAATACAAAATAAATTTCTTCTCAGATAGAAAATGAAATTATTGCAAGGATTATCTCACATCCATATGATTAAGTACAAATCCTGAATGAACTGAAAATAGATGTGAAATCTATACCATCCTACTGAAGTGGATTCTACATGCTCGTCCATCATTCTTATTTTCTTCATACCAAATAATTCTGATGTCAGATAAAATGGAGCTTCTCCACTCCAATGCATAGTTGGTGTTCTCAAGAAAAGACAGGTAACAAAGCTCCCCAAACCAGAAATGGAGATGCTTTCTCCTGTGGTGTAGGACGTGTCTTCTTTCATCCAACAGTAATCATATGTCATATGGCGGCATCTGAAACTAAAGAAAACAGTGTCAGAAACAAGAGGCAGTTAAAAAGCAGTCTTTCCTAATTTATCTTAAACATCATTCTTTCGATTTTCACAGTGATGAATTCTCCTCTTCATTGCAAACACAAACAACATTGTAACTAAGAGCACGAACTGCTCCTCCTGCAGCAGAGTGTTCAAAAGTAAATTTGGGCTTTTAACAAGGTCTTACTGCACCTGAGCCGAAACCAGCTAAATTATCCTAATGGGAAAAAATAAAAATAGACCAATCCAAACCACCAGCTGGACAGAAGAATTGTGCCCAACTGCATTTCCTGTACTATATTCGCATACGGTAGGAGAAATTCGGAAATAATAAAGTAAAAGCAGCTTTTCCCACATTCCTAAGTGAAAAACTCTCCTTGGTAATCATCAGTGAGATGTTTGAAATTCAGACTGCAGCTCCCAGAGCAGCATGTGATGAGGAACCTTGAAATAGGGAAATTCCCAGATCCTGATCAAGGTCATCTTAGTTTTTGGGGAACTATACAATGCTAGGGGTTGGGGGGAAAGCACAGGATTTCTATACTTCTTATTCTCACACGGAGTGAAAAAGCAAATGTAGCTTGTCACCCGTTCTGGTAGCTCATGTAGCTGCAGGCCCAGTAACAACATCTGTCTCCCTTTCCCCGTACATCATAAGAACGGGGATAAGAAGTGTTCCTTGGCTGTGAAATCATCCTGGAGGCAGCAGCTGCTGAAGTGAGCTAGAAAATGACGAGCGTAGGCAGGATACAATGCATCAAAAATTGATGTGGGCTAATGGAACAAGGGGTTTAAACAGCCCGCGCGGTGCCCATTACAGCCCAGTTCTGTGAGCAAGCAGGAGCGCTCCCCTTCAAAAACCTCCGAGTGCCTGGTTCAGAGAGAAACACATCCTGGCATGCATTTGATGCAGAGACCAATAGTGGTGCCAAGTACCCTGGAATGTGCTCAGCAATCTGAGTCTGTGAGCTCTTCCATACTGAGTATTCCCTACTCCATCTTAATGTATGATTAAGGCTTGAATCTATTACGGAAGCAGCAACAGAAGAGGACTTATCTTTCATGATATTTAAAAAAAGAAATATCTGATTGAGTGATTGCATACAGTCCTGAAAACAATTTAAAGCTGCATGTGGGCATAAATCTTTTCTCATAGTAATCTACAGGGATTCATGAAAGCATAAAAAATGATGTCTTACAAAAATGGCCAACTGGCAACCCCAGTATGGCAGTGCTGGCACGAACTTCTGCCTGCAGCAGCACCACACCCAGTCTGGTGATGACTTTAAGCACAGGTCATCTATCACTTTGGAGCACCGAAATGATGCTTTTCAGAAAAAGTGTCAAAAGGATAATTGGAAGGATCCCAGCAATTTAAAATCACACTTACTGTTCTTTACAAACTCATGCATGATTTATAAAACCAGCTTAACTGTAATCTTCCTCTGGCTGCTGAGTACACTTGGTATGTGCCTTTGCTAGAATGTTTTGAACTATCAGTTTCACTGTTTTCCCTGCATAATTTGTATCTTCTGTTGTTTGTGTGGGCGTCTTGCTTAAAGACAGACGAGAGAGGGATTCTTTTAAATATGAAAACATTTTTGTAGAGCCACAATCACATATGGAAAAGCAGGCAAAGAATATTTTTAGTTGCCCTTTCTGCTTGTGCTACAAAGTTCTGCAATGCAAAGTTCTGCATTTAAAGACCTCTTCAGGAAGGCAGCAGGGGCCTGAGCCAAAGCCCAGGTAATATCCTAGGTGTTCCTGCACGGAATTTTCCTGGTATTGGACTGGACTCTGCACAATTAAATTTCTAAATTGCTAGGGGAGGGTGTCCTTAGAGAACAACAGCAGTGATGATATTCTGAATGTAGCTGGATAGGAATCAGCCTCTCAACTTAGTTACTTACTGCTCTCTTGTGCCAACCACCCCACATGGCAGGTTTTGTGTCCACATGCTTTTAGATTGGAAGAGGGGAAAGGGATCCATCAACTAATTTTATTTTACAATTTCTCTGAAAGAGGTTTTCACCTTTTAAGCTGTACACATCCTTCCCCTGTGCGTCCTCCCTGTCATCTACCTGTCATCTACCTTACGTTCCAGTTTTATAATCTATTTCACCTGAAGATAAGATTATGCCTTAAATTCCATATTCACTGGGAGACCAACTTGTCTTATCTAACGATGCAGCTACACTGTCACTCAGAAAGAAACACAGAGACGTGAAGCACCTTAACGTGTTCAAGGATCTCAAAGCTCTTTGCAAAGAGAGATGGCAGTGCTGGTGGTGGAAGGGAGAGTGCTAAAAATCACTGGCAATTGCTGATGTGGAACTTTCACTGGCTTTTATTCAGCCTTTGACACGTCCACCAGTTTTATTAAGAGAATTACTGGGAGGCAGGACACTAAGATTGTTTTGTCTTGTCCTTGGGGCACTGACTGTCAAAGAGATTGATGCTGTAAATAGTTTGGGGTAATAGTGACCAATTTGTGTGAATCTGATCTAACAACAGCTCAGAGCATGACACTGGGCACTTTTCAGACACACAAAAAAAATAAAAATTCCACAACAGGGCTTCTTTAAGGCACTGATTTTTCTTTCTTTCTTTCCTCAGAAAATGGCAGTAGTTCATCCAGGAACTGTTAGGTCTGTATCCATCTCTAATCTCCCCAAATAAGAGAGAACAGCGTTTGGTCCCTAGTTATTCATGAAATCCATTTGTGCTCCTTTTGATTTGAGAACACGATGCTGCTTCCCCTTAGCGGGCAGGGGACAGAAGTACCGCAGGAGAGGGCTCACAGGGACCCTTCATGCTGTACACAGGTGGTTTTCATTCTGCCCTGATCACTGTCAGATCAAAGTGCAGCTTTGGTAGGGAAGAGGCCAGCAAGACCAGCAGGGCCAGCCTGGCCGCATCCCCATGGCCTCACCACTGGAGAAAGACAGACTGCCACACGGGCAGGACACAGACACAGAGAGAAGTCACTCCTTGGGACAGCCTTTTTTAAGCCTCCAAGGGCAAGTTCAGCCAAAACCTTCCCCACATAAGAATAATTTCAGGGATAACCATCAGCAAAATCACTTTGCCAAATGCTCTAATACCTTCAGATGGGCCATTCACCATATATACACGTGTTTTAATGGGCATGCCCATTTGACAGCTGGGGTTGTTTAGCCTGGAGAAAAGGAGGCTGAGGGGAGACCTTATCTCTGTCTACAACTACCTGAAAGAAGGTTGTAGCAAGGTAAGGGTTGGTCTCTTCTCCCAGGTAATAGGCAACAGAAAAGAGGAAACGGCCTGAAGTTGCACCAGGGGAGGTTTAGATTGGATATTGGATATTAGGAAAAATTTCTACATCAAAATTCCACGAGTCTATGATTTGCCCACTTTTATTTCTAGCGGGAGGTGTCCCTGCCCATGGCAGGGGGGTTGGAACCAGATGGTCTTTAAGGTCCTTTCTAACCTAAACCATTCTACAATTCTATTTCTTACTCTAATAATTCTTTGCCCCCCTGTTTTTAGAGAACGGCCATTGAATCAAGTACATTCAGAAATGTAAGTCCTCTTGTGGTTTCACATGCTGCATTTTTTTAAGTAAAGGGAGCTAGCAGCCTTGCTTCAATATATAAATTCAGTATTTATCCTTCTGGTCTGCTCTCCCAGATTTCTTGCTATCAGTCCAGCTTCTTGTTTTTCTCTTTTCATCTGTGACAGCAGAGAGTATTCACTTAAAAAAAAAAAAAAAAAAAAAAGCCAGCGGGAATTAGAAGCCCGAGGGAGTTGTTTTTTTTTTTAAAAAAGGACATTGGATGCTTTTATTAAAGGATCCTTTTTAAATATATATACATAAAAAAAAAAAAAAAAAAAAAAAGGCAAGCAGACCCAGATATACATCACACAGCACTTGAGAGCTGCTAAAAATAATACTTGATGCAAGTAGCGCTTTGGAAGTTAAAAGTACCAGTTGATGCAAGTAGTGCTTTGCAAGTTAAAAGCACTACACAGTCTCTGTTTGAGCTGAGGATAAACAGTTATTACCATGGTGAAAATCAGTAATGATGTATCATGGGCAGAGACAGAAGAAGCTGGGTCTCCAGAGCCTTATTCTAGTGCTGCCCCCTGAACAGCATCACCTCCCAATGCAAGTATTCGCCCTGAATAAAATGTTCGTGCTTCCTATCTAAAACACAGCAGCCTTGAAATTCACAGTAATTGATGTCACCTTTTGACAGCACTGAGGAAACACATCTACAGCTGTCGAATGTAAAGAAAAGACTGACTGAAAGCACTTGAGAGACTTGGCTCATCCATTCTTTCCAGGACAGTTGCTAATATGGTGGTTTAATGAGAGAGAGCAGAAACAGAGGATGATTCGTAACTTCAGCATTCAAATGTAATAATCATAGCTACCTTGAAAATACACAGAGACGTTAAGTGACCTACACTGAAAAGATTCCCCTTTGGCAAAGGTATGAGTGCAGAAGTTGGTACATTTTTTATCAGCTGAGTTAGCTGTCAGTGTGAGAGTAACCAATGAACAGCAGGTAATGGAGCACGTGCCCGCACTGCTGTGCAAACACACATATTGTTATATAGATATAAATACGCAAGGGATAGAAGTATTTTGATAAACATGACCATGCACATGTGTGGCCTTGTATGTGGTCATATGTTTATCAATATACTCACATTCTATGATCAACAGTATTGTTTTAAATAAAAAGACATTTAAAAGACTTTTAAAAAAACCCAAAACATAAAAAGAAACATGTTTTTTTCTGACATAAAAATTCACTAGAAAGTAGCAATATGTCATTGACTATGGATCTCTCTCCATCCATTAGCAAGACAAATACTTACCTGTCACAGATTGGAACAACGAGCAAATAATATGCCTTACACTTTGCTCTCCTGTCCGATCTGGATTTCAGCTTACTCAATTCCTGTGGCTAAAAACAATGTTGTTGGGCCTTTCAGCTTTCAACGTGCTGGGTGAGGGGTCATCGCTGAGGCCATCAGCAGGTTCTCCAGCTGAGTAGCTGGTGATAAGAGTGCACCTTCCTTCTCCATTTCCTCCTCCTTACAGCTGCTGTGATACCTACCACACCTACCCTGTAGCTCCCCTCCTGACACAGAAATCCAATAAACACCCCGGGCTGTGGGTAATGCTTTCTCTGAGCGCAGCTTCAGCTGGAAACCAGGGAAACCAGAACTCAAAAGTGGCTTGCCTGTCCCCGTCTTGCCTGTTTGACCCATGGGGCAGGCATTCAGATAACTCTTGCCAACAAGACCGAAGAAGCCAGATCTGAAGCAGAGAAGGGCAGACATAAGAGCTGTCCCCAGAGGAGCTCTCGGAGTTCTAGCTCAGGCTAGAACCTTTCCTTCTTTGAGGCTCTCGTACGGGTGGGCTGAAATGCGTGTGCTTCAGGGGAGCAACAGGTAGGGTCACACAAAGATGATGCTTTTTGATTAAGAAGCTCCTGGTACACACTTCTTGTCTCCACCACACATCCTTCTTGGGAAAAAACAGGTTTTATCAAGTTGATAGAATCTATAACTGCCTTTGTCAGGTCTGGGAATTTAATCTTGGCATTTTTCAGTCTCAGTACTCAGCTGTTCATGTGCAGCTCTTCTAATGCAGCCCGCTCCTCCCTGATGAGCAAACTCCTCTGTAGGAGCATTCTAGAGACTTCACAGAGACAACCCTAGCACTCATGAGAAAAGCAGACTGCATTCTCCTTCCACAGCCTGAGCAATCAAAGGGACTCCTAGCTAGTAAGTTTTCCTGTAACTGCAGTGTCGTTAGCCACTGAGCCACCCACAAACACAAGCAGTAACGAGTTGAATCTGATTTTATCAGATGAAGGGGAAGTGTTTCTCTGCAGGAAGTGAAGCAAAACTAAAGCAGAAAGTGCTTTTACCATTTTCAGAGTACTTAGCTTTGCGACAGGATTCCTCCGAGAAATGTTAGTCAGAACCTGAGGTGGTGAAAGGCAAGATCTAGATCTAAGTTTTGCTTCTCCAGCCACACCCTTTGATAATCTTTCCACACAATGTCATGTAACATTACAGTGTCATGTATTGGGCATTGATCCCACGTATCGCATCCCACTCTCACCTCGCTGCCAGCAGTCCTCCTGATGGGAAGGCTGTGTTACCACCAGGAAAACAAGCCGACAAAATATTTGGAGTTTCTCAACATACCTAATCTTTTTCTTTCAGTTACTGACCCAGAGATTAAGGAAATGGATAACTTCATCCTAAACTGTCCTGGATCTCATATACTGCCTTCACAGAGCAATCAAAGATCTGCAAAGTTGTTCCATCTCTTCTTTCTATCCTTTAATACATAACACTTAAGACAATGAAAGCAAAAGGAGTGCAAGCAGGTCAATCCCAATGGTAACTCCACTTCTAGGAACACAGCAGTTAAATTTCCCAGGGATGGGCCATAACTATTTTTTCCTACTTCGAAAATATGAGTTTTGGTGACCCAACATCCTGGAAGGACAAAGTATGCTACTGATCAGCCGTAATACTGTATAAGTGAGGGCACTGAATACTAGCAAGCACCCCCTTAGCAATGTATCCTATTATAGCCTTAAAAATGTCTTATTTTTAACCCAAGAGTAAATGCTCTCACAGAAAACAATCAAGGTGGGCAGGTACATGGCAGACAGGGATATGGGAAGATAAAGCTTTACATGAGAGACAGTAGGCAGGCATCAGGAAAAGAAATGGGCCAGTACTGAAGTGGTTGGGAAAAGACCCCGGAGAAAGGAAGCAGCTGCCCTAGGGAAAGGCTGATGGGGCTCTGGGAAGGGGCCTGCCCACGCAGCAAAAGCTCGTGAGGTCCAAATGGCAAAGAGCTGAACTCAGATGTTCTCAGAACTGCTCTCACCTATGTCACAGACTTCCCAAGCCATGTTATCTTTTTCTGCCTCCTGAGAGGCATTTTAGAATTTCTCATTTTAGAATAATAATGACAATTTTTCATACTTGTAAATCCTAGTAAGACCTATGGATCAAAATCACTTAAAAAGTGGTCAGTATTTTTAATTACTATAATACGCTGTCCTGTAATTCAGCTAGTCTCTCTCAAAAGCCAAATCATCATCTAGCTCAATTATTACTGTATTATGGCACTACCTCATCCTTTGTCAGCAGTGCTGTTCAAAATTTCTTCTTTAGTTCTGCTCTCAACATACAACTCCATTGTTGATAGTTCATATGAAACACAAAAATCAAACTGCTCTTCAGAACATCCATTTTTTTAACACATTAAAAAGATAGCAGGACATGATATTGAGTTTTCAATAAAGCTCCATCCAATTTAAATAGATGTAAAGAAAGACCTTATTCATTTTTTTAACCTAAAAAATTCACCATAGACAGTAATATAATCTTGCAAGTAGCCATCACCTTGTCAATGCAATTGATATATTAGTCTGTATTACTTATTCAAGTAGCATCTGTTCCATTTCCAGGCATTACAAGTATTGCCAGGAAGAGGTAGCTCTTACTGCACATTTCTTTTCAGACCTGTTTCCTTACATCTGGACTTCCTGAAACAATTTACTGGCATGCAAGGGCTGGGGAAAGTTAGAAGTGGGATATGAGTTTTAGTTTCAAGCTGAAATCAACTTCTTGTCACTCTTCTGACTGGTGTAATAACGACAGAGCAGTTGATTTCTTTTGTTTGGGGAATTTGATAATTTCAAACCCTTGATTCTCTTCAGAGATCATTTGCAAATTGCTTCTTTCCACTTCCCTTGTGAGAAACAAATGTCAACATAACGCTGAAGTCCAGAATACAATATTCTACACCAGAAAAATGGTGTCAGAATTTGCACTGGGGCCTTCAGGGACACACAGGGTTTAAAAGGCTAACACATTAGTTTATAGATGACTCTCGGTAGCAGAAGGAAAATTGATTTTGTTTCCCTGCCACCTAGCTCTCACAAAACACATTTTCCAGTTTGTCATCTCATATATTTGGCTAGAAGAAGTAGTAATTTATTTTGAGCAGATATTGATTAGTATTAATTCTAAAAATATAAGGCAAAACAGAATAATCAGTTGTAAGATATTTACTTACCTTCTACAGTTGATGCACCCACATGACAATGCTCATGTTCAGGAATTACTGGCAGTGTCTTTGTGGTCTGTGCAGTAAGTGGAATCCGTTGTTTGCTGGTTTCCAGTACTGAAAGTTAAAATAATTTGTATGCATATTATTAAACAGCAAATACATCTGCAGAGCATTACACATTGAATCTGCAAGTCTGCAAATAACTGAGCCCTGTCTGAACACAAGGCAGAAGTGGACAGCCAGTCTGTTGGTGGGATTTTATCACCCAGAGGTGCAGATATGCGTCAGGAACTCCTGAAAGTATTAACCATGTTTTGTATTTAGCTGCCTCTTGACACTAGCGAGGCTACAACTTGCTGATCCTACATCTCCCTGGGAAGCAGCCTGAAGGCAGGCAAATATATTGCTCTTGGAAATTTTACTAGTAGTGAAAATACAGAAGCATGCAAATTTGAGGCTAAGTGTGTCTTAAAATTCAAAAACCTACAGTTGGCCAGTTAAGCGGAAACAATTGAAATTTAGAATGTGATCTTTATGGCTCATTTTCACATCAGGGCAGCCTGGATATCGCCTCTCAGGAACAAGTGAGGTGGCCTCAGCAAACCTGTGATACACACAGGGAGAGCTACTGGCTGTCATCCAGTTGCTACCGCAGACGGCAGCACGTGCCTCAGAAGCAGGGAAAGGGGTGGTGATGCCTTTAGCACGCTGGCACCACAGGTACCGGCATGATCATCTCACTGGGAACAGGTGAAGAAACACAGCAATAGCACTGTCAGGGTAAGGAAGTCAGAGTTGCTGATATAACGCATTTTTCAAAGAACTACCGTAGAACAACAATAGTGTCTTAACTCTAGGTCCATCCTGTTCCTGACCATCCGTAACTTCTGTAAATCTACAAATGGTTTTCTACCGAGTTCACAACAAGAGGATGAACTGTGTCACTTACTTATATGTCACTATATCCCTTCTCTGCTTACTATACCATTTGGGCTTCTTGCTTTACAAATTCAATTAAAAAGTGGAGTTTTGATCTTGGTAATTAAGCAACTGAATATGAAAAACTGGGGTAGTTTTAAAAATAGCAATTGATCTTGTTTCACCCTCAGGACAAACCTGGAGAGAATGGCAATGTAGGCTGGTTATCCCTTCAGAGCCTGTGTAACACTGCTCTGCTGGCACGCAAACTGTGCAGAGAAATGGCCCCTTGTGCATCAGCACTCTACTGAAAACATACAGTGGCTATAAAAAGCTCCCTAAAATTGGCCGCATCCTATGGATTTTACCCTCCTATCTGAAAAACAGAAAAAGACCCAAAGTGGTAATAATGTTTCACATTTTTCTCTGGAAATGCTGTGTCTCAGAAACATGAAAGGCTGTTTTAAATATTGAATACCTTTGCTTTCCCCAGCATTATTCATCTAAGTTGCAGAGGAAAAGACAGCTATTCAGCTACGTCAAGAACTCTCTAAGAAGGATTAAAATCAAACAGGGGATGCTTCACTTGGCCAACATCAAACAAATTTCTCCTGTCTTGGCTTTGCACCTATCTGGTGCTGTAGAAGATGTATCCTGCCTGTTCTCTCTGCTAAAAAGAAAACGTATTGCAGAATACAAAGAGGAGTGAGTCTGAATTCACTGGGACGCAGCCCTGACACTACTGAGCCAGTGTTTGCTTCTATTTTCAACCTGTCAACTAACCTGAAGCTGTAGCAACACATCAGAGAGATGGCAGAATTTTGCCTATTTCCTCTAATCTTGTAGGAGAGGAACTATTATTTCAATAGGGTAGCACAGAAAACAATACAGGAACTCAAATGACTGAAAGAAAATTTGTTGTTTCTTATGTGCAAATTACAGCTGTCAAGCCCACTTATATCAAATTCTGTGGATGCCACAAAGTTCTAAACAGTCCAGAAAACAACAACTGCAGGCCAGAAACCCTGAGGTTTTATTCTCTGAGTCCTGGTTGTCACCATGATCCTGCAATGTCCTTCTTTCAGGATGAGTGATAAAATTACCATCCATCAGAATTAACTTTGCATTACTGTGAGCCAGACACAGGAGTCAAGGAACTCTGTATTTGTATCCTAAAATGTAATGAACCAAACTGTGACTCTGTGAGCCAATGGAATGTCACTGAAAAAGGGAGAAGTATATGCCATTTGAGCAACGAAGAGAAAGGCGTTTTATTTGAACTGAGGTTGCCCACACAGACTGTAGAGTAATCGCATGATGACACTAATAGTACGATTCCCTGTCTGCGTGGTCCCAGGTCCCATGTCTAGCACAGGAACGGGAGCAGGTCCTTGCTCCAATAGACCTTATGCTACTTTCAAAATAGGAAAAAAATTAAAAAGGTATGCCATTCTTACGCTAGGAAAAGAAGGTCTAAATAGCAATTCATAGTGGTAAACTTCTAGTAATATAAATTCATGTTTAAGTATAACCCATATAATTATATTAATGAAACCTCCAGTATGAAAAGACCCTGCTAGGCAGATTCAGTCTAGGTATCAAATGCCCTGATTTATGCCATCTGTTTCCTGTGCAATGTCTTTTGTGTTTGGTTTGGTTTTTTTTAAATAATGTAATTTACAGTTCACACACGTTGGCCCGCTCCCAACAAGTAATTCTATGCCATGTCCCCAGGCTTAATTTTTTTAGGATACAGCCACTATGAGAATTGCTATACTTAATCAATTGCTAGCAGGAGAAAAGGTACTAAAGGAGCTGAGGGAAGGTAGGCTACAGGAAAGGTGTAAGAGCAGGGTAAGGATAGCTGCCCTCCCTTCCTCTGGAACTGAGGCTGATTTAAGCAGTAAGCTTCACACAACAGTTTAGCAGTTTCTATCTGAGTTCTTTTAAAAAACTGTGGGGAATACTGTCTAGTCCTTCTAATTGCTATTATTAATTTATTAAGCTGTTCCAAAACCTCTTCTACTGCCTCTTCAATTTGAGAAAGCTCCTCAAAAAAATTATTGCAATAAAAGTCTCTTATGTGAGAATCTCCCTAAGATTCTCTGTCACAAACACAAAACCAGAAACTGACCTTTCTTCTCTGGATTATTTTCCACGTGCTGGTACTATCAAGTCCTATTTGATATGAAAATGCTCTGTGTCTAGAAATATGGATCAGCCACTTAAAGAATACTTACTTCTTGCACTGAAGAAAAAGCACCCTGTACTCCTTCCCTTCTCTTGTGGCTGCATTTAAGGGCAACTGTGCTTTGTCAATTCATACCATTCAAGGGACTGTTTCACATAAATTCAATGGCAGGAATGGATCCAAAGTCTAGAGAACACGTTCTGTACAGCCCACGCTCTAGCACATACTTTTTTGGCTTAACAGCACAGACAACGTTTAGGCAACAATTATGACCAGAATGCTTTAAAGCTCCCCTATCCTCACTGTATGTGCTTAATCCTTTGTAGTACCACGAATTTAGAAGGCTGTAATTTTAATCCTACTCCAGAGAATATACTAAACATTCTCCCCCCTTTCCTCTGGTGACTGGACTTAACAGTAATGATTCATGGATGTTTCACAAAACTAGCATCCATGCTGTAAATTATCTTTTTGTAGGACCCCAGTGATATTAAGAGAGTAATTTCCTGAGCCTACCTAGGAAATCATTCTTGTTCTCAAAGTACAGGCTTCCTTCTTTTTCTTCTCTTATCCCTTCTGAACTTTGAATAACCTTTTAGTCATACCTATACATCTTTTCAACTATATGAGATAATGTCACATCCTCTCAGATATATAGTTACTTATTCTCATGATGGTGTTTCCAGGGTGGTTGTATTGTCTTCAGTGGATCTCAATGTTTTGTTCCAAGATTCCAAGCTATGCAGTAATGAGAATGAAAATATTATCAAGGGCTATTGAAGAGTCATCTATAGCTATTTATAATCCATTATCACAGTAGCAAGTCTTAAACTTAGCAACTGTGGAAAAAATAAACTCTTTTCCTATGGTCTTGATTTCACTTCAAATTATATTCGTATAAACCAGGAAATTGACTGGATTGACTGGAATTATGGTGTGTGAAATCCGGGTATTTCATATTAAAATAAAACCCATTACAGCAGTTCATACAACTAAGCATCTTTCTGGGTTAAATGGATAGACTGAAGTGGGAGGAACACAGAAGTAAGAATGACAAATCAATATTGGATTCTTATTCTCTGTGGTAAAATTTAGTAAAACTAGATTTGAATTTCCATAAAACTCCATCATCAAAAATGCCGTTGGATATACAACACTAAAAATGTCATTGTGAACATGCTGATAAAACAGGTATGGTACTAGTGAAGCGACTCGAGACAAAAGATGTCAGAAAGATAATTCCTTTCCTGCGGGATGAAAATAATGAGCTCATAAATACATCTTAGAGGTACCCAGTGCTTTAAAAGTGAGAAGCATAAATTATACTCCCAGGAGAGTTCAGACAGACAGGGAGCTATTCACTCTTTCCTAGGTAAAATTGAAATGCCATGAGTTACTGAGTTGTAGAGAGAAATTATTGAGTCTCCTCTTACTCCTGAAGAACTGACAAAACAAACAGTGAGGTACCCAAGCCAAGCCAAATTTAAAACAATTTTTTTCATTTGCTGGCTTTGTAGTTGTTCCTGTTTTGGGGGAGGTTGGTTTGCCATTCAGAGCTATTGTTCTGTATGTTCCTGTCAATCTTTTAAAATATAGAGCTCCCTTTGTTGAACCAGAATCCATGGATTTTATTAAAGCGTATGCCTCTTCCAGCAATACCAGTAACACTCAGAGCTACAGCTGCTAATTGCCCCTCACATAAAGATTTGTTACCAAATCATAATTTCTGGAACCAAAATGTTGAGTTTAGCCATGCTATTTAATTTATCTGTGCTAAACTCTCAGAAGAATACATATTAATTCCTACCTGAGACTAGAAAATTGTACTTTGTGGAGATTTTTCCCTAGAAATAGGTTACAAAGTGCCAGCAGAGTCATTCCCTGAATCCTGCCACAGCCATCCATTCCATCCTTTGGTAGCAGATTTTGTCAAGAGTCATAAATGCATAGAACATACATACAAGTGTGTACTTCTCTGTGTACTTTTCATACACACACAAAGCTCTCAGCTGCCAAGCCTCAAATGTGGCACACAACACAATCAAAAATTAAAAAGAGGTAAAAAACCCTAAGTCATTAATACAACACATTTGAGAGAAGCATTCCCACATGATATACATAAGTGTTCTTAAAGTTTAATCATCAGAATTATTTATTTATGAAATGCTTCCGTAACATAAGCCAGATCAAATTTGCGTAGGATCAAGGTAACTCTGAAACAAACCTAAAGCACCCCAATAGGAAAGACTTAAAAGGTCTTTCTTGACCTTCTCATGTCCAAAAATTAGCTAGGGTTTTATTTCACTTACATTTTACTTACCAGGAAAAGGATGAATTTTAGTAGCAGACATGGCTCTTCTTGCATGTCCTGAACTCTTTCTTCTTAGAATAGTAGAAACAGCTGCTACTCTGTGTTTACGATCTGTTTTAAACAAAATGCATTACCTTCAGCTATAGAATTACATACGGCACTAATTAGACTGAAAGCTTGTTCTTAAACTATTAAACACCTTCCATGAAAAAACAGGAAGGTTTTGAAATAAGCTGATGAGGAAAACCTAGGGCCCTATGTTTTATATTTTCCTGAATAAAAATTTCTGGAAATTCCATTCAGGTTTTCCCCGTTCAAATTATTCCTTCCCTTCTCTATAATTGTGTACCTTGAACAAATTTTGGAAGGTTATCAAAGAAGTACATGTTCCAGTACAGCTTCAGATTCACATTGATGACAGTAGAATAGCAAGGAAGGAGGGTACTAGCATCCTAGGAAGTCAACGTATTTTTTGCAAGTGTGGCATGTTCATCCTTGGAAGCAGTTTGAGAGCAACTTCTGCACCACCCAGAGAGAGAAAGATAGAGCTGGGTTGGACACCTCTGACTGTTCCTCAGCACCCAGTTCATAAAATCCTTGGTCTTTGCCTCCTCGTGCTGCTCTCTTAAGATCCTGCTCTTGATGGGGTTACTGCAGTTGATTGTCCAGCTCTTGTGGTTAGCCCTGTTCCACAATGACAGCAGCTCAGGGCTTGGCCAGCTTCTGATAACAGCCTTGCCCCAATTCTACATAATAGAATTGATTTTATCTTTTTCTTTCAAGAACACTAGAAAACTTAATCTTTAAGAAATTAATTAAATTAGCATTATTTAGGTCATGATTTTTTTATGACTAGCCAGCAGAGATCTAATGTGCTGATGCCCTAAGCGTGTACTGTAACAGGTAACGTCAGGGAAGCTCTGGAAGTGGTTGTAAGACAAGAGTGGAAGGGAAAAGGCAAAAGGACTAATTTCTAATTTAGCTCCTTTGTTATGGATCAGTAGTAACCTCCACCAAGTTTATTTGGATATTTTATTTTATGCACTCATGGAAATAACTTCATTAATGTTTCAGAGAGTCTCAAAGTCTGCCTAGCAGAATGTCTTGGAAGGTCTCAAGAGGAAATGAATAATTCCATATTTCTTAACAGCTTTCAGAAGAGCTCAGAAACTGAAAGAAAAACTACTAACTGAATTATGACTGTAAAAACTCTTAGCAGCTCTTTTAGGCACATAAAAATATTCTGCTATGCTCTTTGGGCGGAACTGAAAAAAGCAGTATGTAGACTTTCAATTAAAGGTGGCATCATAATATATACATGTAAGGAACAGAACCCTTAAATCTGATTTTTGTGTGGTTGTCTTTTTGTCAGTAACATGTTGATGTTGTTTATAATGTTATATATTGTCAATTTAACGAATAAAAAGGCTATTCCTCTATCAACAGAAAATATATTCTAGAAGCCAGTCAGTAATTAGATGCCTCAAAAGAGCATCTTTTCCTCTCTGCTTGTGTCCATGACAATTCTGAAAAACCTGCATTTAATAGAAAACTGATGTTAAGGAATAAAGTCAGTAAATCATTAATCATCACTACTAACGGTTCTGCATGAAAAAGGGGATGTTATGACTCAAAGCAGAGAAATTCATACTCATGACATTTATAGGTAGCTTTGAAATGACAAATAAGTCCTTTAAATTAGAGCATTTAATAGCCCACTTATAAAGACCTAATTTACACTTTGTGCGATTTTTATATATACAAAATAGGTCTCAGAATTTGGGTCTAGCAAAAGATCATGTCTTTTAACCAAGACAATCTCGTAAGGAGTTTCTCTAATCATTCGGTGGGGAAGCACAGATCTGACATTTTAAGCAACTATTTTGCTTATTCATTAAAAATATATGTATAAAATATTTACATTGTGCAAAACATTCACAGAAACACTTTGTGTGCAAGCACTCTTCTTCCTTCTGTTCAGCTATGATTAAAGGTAGACTCCTATTGCTCTTTCATTACAAAACTGCCTGTGGATCCTGTAAGGATGATCAGGGGAATGGATATGGCTTATAATTTTTTTATTACCCCTGTGACCAAGGTCTCCATTCGGCAGCTCTGGATTACATGGGGAATGGACATCTGCCTGGCAACAGCAACTAGCTGCTGGTTGCCCAGAGGCATTCTGCCCACTCAGGGCTGTCACAGGCAGAAAGCCTCAGGAAATTGCTGTGAAATGCATCGAAGAGCTATTATCTCAGGTAACAGGTTAAGTAATGCTCTTTTCACACTGATGAAAGGGACTGTGCTCCCTGTACCTACCTCTGACTTGGAATGAAAAACAAGAACCAGCAGCCGACAAGTGGCCAATTTTCTGCATTGTTTTTGTGCAGAGGACTTCATCTTGATTGCTCAGAAGTCTAAAGTTCAGGGGACTCCTACACTTTTATTCTTGCTTTCTCCACTGTATATTGCTAGAAGAAACACTGTAAATCCCGCTTTCAGCCTGTATCCTAAGTGAATTGCATAGGAAGAGCCTCTCTTGACTGGTAAAGGCATTCTGTAGAAACAATTATTTCAGTCTCTGAACTAAGGAGACAAGTTCTTTCATAGCAAAGTTTGAATCACTTGGAATAGTCAATGGTACTGATTCAGAAATCACAGCAAAATTATTTTCTTTGCTGAAATAACAGCAAAGAGAAGAAATGTTACCTGGGCTTAATTCAGCTCTGGGGTTAAGAAGGCACAGCTTGTTTGACCTCTATGGGATTACACCACCGCTGAATTTAGATAACCATTTTTAGGACAGAGAGCTGAGTGCGTATCTCCTCATATCTATCCTGTAGTTTTTCTTGACCATGACCTAGATGAATCATCTTCAGGAAGGGAAGAGTACTTCAACCTGCTTATATTGGTCACGGGCATTTCTGGTTAAGACCTTCAACAAGGTTCAACTGTAACTGTTTTATCTACTGAAATCAGTCTGAAATCAGAAGTTCACATCACTAAGGATCATAGGTCACCAAGCATCTGCCAAAAAAACCATATTTCATTCACCATCACCAAGCTTGGATTTGCATCCACAATTCAGAGGTGAGAGGTGATAGTATCAATCATCCCAGTGCTCCAGTCCCTCTATAAGAAGCTTTTACCATCTTACAATCAAAATACTGGTGTCTGAACCACATTAATAATCAACAGCTTTGCTATTGTAAATGAATACATTTTTCACTACATAGAAATTTAAATTCACTCAGATTAACTTTTTGTTACTTACGGTTTTGTTCATTTTCTTGGACTATTTTGTAGATGACGATTGAAATAGTAAACACAAAAACTACTGGAATCATAGTGAGCCAAATGATCTTCACCATACACATTGGATCTGCCCATAAAATGTAGAAGAGATAAAATGAAGCAGGAAATCACTGGCAGAGGAAAGCAGAACATTCAGTCTCGGTAGGTTTTTAGACCATGCCTATTGCCACAGATGAAAATTTAAAACAAAATAGAAGATTATGTCTTTTTCTGTCAGCCTTCTTTGTTTTGTTTGAAATAGTTTCCTATCTAGAATTTAGCTTCATTTTCACCTGTATCTATCTCCCCACGTCTGAAATAGTTATATGTAGCTAAGTGAATGAAAACTTTTCCTATTTATGTAAACTCATATGCAACTCAGCCAGGAAGAAAATGTTTTGAAGATCAACATTTACATTTAAGATAGGACAAGGGTAATATATATCTCCTCTTTGTTTGGAAGGAGCACAGAAGGAAGTGGTCCACTGTCCAACATTCTCAACCTTCTGGTCCATCTTAATATACGGGTGATGGTAAGATTCTACATATAAAAATTTTCTTATCAAAAAGTGAGGAAAAGTCACCAACAGGACCCCTTTGGGGACTTCTTTTAACCAAAGCTGCCTTGGGTGAGAATCAGTGTGGGGCTGGGTGTAGGAGGTGAGCTGCTCTTTTGGACAACAGCTGCTGCAGAAATGCACCACATTCCGCAGGGAATGAGTTCAGTAACTGGTACAAGCCAGGACTATATACCACAGAGAAAGGATGCGGGGAACTTTCCTCCCTGGTTGTTCACAAGACCTTTCAAACTTGTTTGGCCGCTGCATGTTAATGCATACCTTAGCATTGTCAAATAACTATTTTAAAAACCAAGTATGTTACTATGACTCATATAAAATCAAATTACAGACTACAGCCAAACCACTGTTTTCCTTTCCTTGACTTAGAATAGCATAATTAGACCTACATCAACTTCCCTTGCGTACCTTCTCCATTGAGAAATCATGAGGTAACTGCCAGTAACCCCATGGCTCTTTGAGGTAACCACAGCTCATCCCTCCTAATTCAGAACTAAAAATACCTTTTATACAGTCATTTAGGCTCCTTTCAAACAGAGTACTCTGCCCCTTGTCTTGTTGTGACTTGTAATGACTTGTATATCATCTTGCCTAGTCAAAGCCCTGAGCACCTCTCTATCTTTGTTTTGAAGTAAACAGGAAAAAAGATGCGTTCTTAATTTTTATTGTTAATCTGAGATTCCTGCTTCCCAGATAAATAACCACCAGCAAAGGGGGTGCTTAGCTCATAGTTTTGACACAATATCTTTTGACACAATATTCTACTTTTCAGCAAGGTCTTTTCTAATGCTTGGAAAACTGCATTTTTAGAAGACTCCAGTGTCTGAATTTGTGAAAATATTCACTTTATAGCCAGCTATGGTGTGCAGGTTTCAGGATCTCAGTGTTTGCAAGTTATCCAGGTGCAAGGATGAGGAGGAGTGAAACCTGGGTACTAGACCCAAGCTGCCAACAGGATTACCTCATAGCATGAATGTCAGATTCAATATAAATCAGAAAATTTGCCAAGAAGTTCTCTGTCTTTCCTGACGGCTGTGATCCTGAGAACTTCTTGCCCCGGTGCCGGACCCCTGAGCCCTTCCCTTCTTCCCAAAGCCGTAGCGCTCACAGTGTCCCACATTTGCTGTCCCCACTGGGAGTGCACAGCTTCCTGTTGGTAGAATGGGCTGAGCATAATCCTTGTATATTTTGTGTTGGTATCAGGATCAATATTGGTTCTTTAGCATTATTACTGTTAACTATTTAGTCTTACTCTATTAAATCTGTTTATATTTCAACTCCCAAATTTCCTTGTTTTTTCCCCAATTCCCCTTCCCAGGTAGGGAGGGTTCATCGGGTGAGAGAATAACTGTCTAAACGACAATAAATTGTTCTTCAAACCATAACACATAAGTTAGCAGGGCCAGTTACAAACTATACTCCTCTCACAGCTAGACCTACTTATTTAAAATAAACTAAGCTGCCCTCTCTTCTCTAGGATTTTATTAGTACATATTTAATATAGGTTTAGCCAACTCCAAAACACATACATTTTTCCAGCAAAGGTACAGCATAAAATGCATTTGCCACACAAAACTAAATTAATGTAATAATTCAGCAATTCCCAGATGGCAAGTATTGCATATAGACGGGCTGGAAGCCCTGACCATGGTCAGGCAATCAGCCAAAAAACTCCTGCAGCACAAAGAGAAATTTAAAAACCTGACAGGGTGTCCTCTGGGAAAACTAAGCCTAGTTCAGCTGAATATTTCTCTTTTAAGTGTACTGTAGTAAGGCTGTATAGTAGGATATTGCAGTACAACATTAAGAAAAGTCAAACCTGTCTCCTGGTTCTTCGGTCACTGAAGTTAACAGGAATTTTTCTATTTACCTCCAAGACAACAGGGTTATGCCATTATCAGGGAGGGGAGAGGAAAAAAAGTAATTCCAGGTTTTGTCATATATGCAATTTCTGTCACTGTTCAGAAAATAATGTACAGACACTTACTTTGCTGTGTTGCTACTAGGAAAAAAAAAAAAGCCACAACTAAACCCGCTTTAAATCACTATAAAAACTGTCAGCTGACTACTAAAGATGGTATTTTACTAAGGGATGATCAAAATTGTATTCTCTTATTGTAAAATACTTAAATACTCCCAAATGGCTGCTGAAAGCAGCAAACTACCTACTGCAGATTTTTTGCAAGACTGATACTGCTTCTGGTTTGATTTTCATTCTGACTCTCCTTTGTAACTTACATTCCACATAAGACTCCAGTTGCAGTGAAATATTTATACAGTCATTTTGGTCTTCCATCATTGCCACTAGACAGGAATGATGTAGGTATTCTTCGGCTGTATTTCTTCCTCCGACTATAGAATTGTTGATGTGGATTTCCAGCCCGTAGTAAGTATTATGGTCTCCTTCTTCTTTCTCAGAAACCGTAGTGAAATTAAAATATTTATAAAAATAAATAACATCTTCTGTTTTCACTTCAAGTGAGCCTTTTGCTTTTGGAACTAAAAATTAAAACAAAATTGTAATATAATATGTGGTAGACGAAACAAGTCTCAGAAAGAACAATAAAATAAGTTCTTGGTCTCATTTGCAAAAACATACAGTTGGTTTTTACATTATTGACTATGATAAAATAGACAAAAATTATTCTGATCTGAAGAGTATTTATTATCTATGCAAAATATATTTCCCCTGCAAATTATAGCCCCTTTTTTGCTTTACTACCAGCTTCTGAGCTTTTCAGCTTTTTGTTGTTCTGTTGTCTGTTGTCAAAGGTAACCGAGACAAAAATCAGGCTACAGAAAAAAACCAACCAAACAAGTAAAAGCCATATGATGATAGAGATTTGAAGTGCACATCTAGTCTATCTGCTGTAAGTTGCGGAAGCTCCTTGTTTTACTTCAAACCACACAAACTGTGAGACTTGCACAATGTCAACAAGAAACATAGATAAGCAAGAAACCGTAAAAAGTGTTAGAGTTGTATAGGTATAAACAGTTTGTCCATGTATTTTTTGGTTTGTTATTTTCAATACTTGTTAGGACAGCTATTTTGTAACAAGAAAATGAAGCTGTTGGAAAAGAACTGCATTTCTTATTTTCAGGACTTGGCCTGTTGCCCCTATTGCTGATGATGTTAGGAAAGCAAAATTGAGAAGAATCCACATCCGCAAAAGGTTTCCAGATACTTTGCAAGTGTATATGGCACATCTGAAAAGATGTGGGTGTTGCTGAACTCTTCTCCATACTGGTGGGCCAGTGCTGCCCTCTGTGAAACATTCTGGTCATTTCTGATACTACACAGCTGTGGCTATCAGAGACCATAAAACCAAAAATGGTTATTTCTTGTATTTCTTCAAATCAGTTTGTCAGATACTTGCTCACAACTTATCATCACATAATATCATCATATAATATCTGCTCAACATGTAGAATTTTGCAATGACATTTAAAAGCAAATTCAGTGTGAAAACTGATCAGAAACTACAACTCCTTACAAATAAGTGAAATATTTTAGCATGATTAAAAGAATAAAGATGGGGATACAAGAGCATTCCTAAAAGCCAGATGACAGAGGTCAAATTTGTAACAGAAATATTCAAGGGGGCTGCTGGATAAGGCATTCTTTTCTCACAGCACCCTCCTTGCAGACCAAGGCAAAGCGCCCTGAAGATAATGACACCCCCACAGCCAATATTTTATACAAGATCCTCAAAGAAAAGAAATCAGCATTTTGCTACTGACATGTTTCACTGGCAGCCAGGAATGAATGCCACTGAGAATCTGGCATAAAACCTGTATTTTCTAGCCACATAAAGACAAGCTGAAAAAAAGGCGTTGTTCATAGATTTGCAAAGGCCATAGATTTGATAATCATAATTTTAACTACCATATAAAAACGTATCCTTTATGTAGTAATTAACTACTTCAAAAATAAGTATTTCTCTTCCTCTACTTACTTTTTTTATCTACTGACTGTGATCCTTGATTATCAACATTCGCATCTCTCTTGGGTTCACACTCCGTGTGTTTAGTATGGGACTGTTGTTCCTTCCCGAAGGACTGGCAAATACAAGGAGTATGTTGGAAATTGGGATGGTTTACAGTGGCCTTCAGTAAAATAGTCTGGTTTTCTCTTCTTTGTTGCACTGATCTTTTGCAAGAATTGTTAAAAGTACAAAGTGGAAAAGTGGTGTTATTGGATGAACAGGTATCCACGCATGACACAATTACAGTGTTATCTGTAAAAAAAAAACAAACAAAAAAGAGTTCTATATTAGCAAGACAGTCTTATAGGACACATGGACAAATATGCACATGGAAGCATCACATGACAGAACCTTTACCCACCTTAATGATGAAACGCACTTTCTTGAGGGTTATGGCAGCACATTGAAAGCATCAACAAGTGAGAGAAAGCAAGTACAGAGTCTCCCCACAACCTCAGTGCTGGATTTTATTGCTGTATTGCATGAAATCTCTTGTAATTAATACTAACTTGAACTTGTGGTGGTCTCTAGTCACATTCCTGTTTCAAAGCTGCCCCAATTTGATCATACTTGAAAAGAAGATGAAAGCACTTATGTTTAGAGGGGGAACTTAGCCCTGGAACTATGCAGTTGCAATGCACCAGTGCAATTATACGGTAAAATAGCTATAATCAGAATGAAAACTTTCGGTATTCATAGTCAAATTTCAGTATCAAATTACTGTAGCTAGACTACATTAATGCAGTTCTGGCAAGTAGCAAAAACCACACAGAATTAATTATTAATGAATGTTACTTTAGCTGTCTTCCACATTAAAGTGGGACTTTATTGTATAAATCATGCATTTTTATTTGAGTTAACTCTTAAATATTTTTTCAATAGGAAAAAAAAAAGAATAAAAAAAACTTTTGGGACCTCAACATGAAATATGTATTTATGAATACAAATAACCACTTCCTGGAGTTGATGCTGCACTAACCTATAGTTTTGTAGCTGACTTTCCAATTTTAGCAGTACCCTTCCATCTCTGTGAAGAGCAAGTTTTGCATCTAACGCCCAATATGAGTAATTGGAGTAATACATTCATAAATCCTTATATATAGAGAGAAAAACATAGCCTTTAACTGCTCCAGTGCTCAGCTGCAATCTGACAGCTTCAACAGGCCACCTGTGCTTGCATCGCAGCAGGCTGACCTCAGAAACGCTTCAGTGAAGGATTTCAGGCAGGATACAGAAATAAAATCCAAAATCCAATGCCAAAGTCAATTATCTTCACTTTACTAACGCTACAGCAGAGTCATAAACTCCTTATAAAACACCATAAATTGAAACGTAAAACACACATCCTATGCAGGTAAGAAAATAATTCATTTTAATACAAAAAGGAAAAATGTCAGACAAAATTTAGGGCTTGATCTTTCCCTGAGGCAAGTCAAAACATTTTCCTCAGAACGCCTACGATCTGACCCACGCAGCTCAGAGTGGAACAGCCTCCTGAGGTCAAATTCTTCCAGCTGAAGGAGGAGTTTTGTGCAGAGCTTCTCTATGGAGACGAGCCACAAGCAGAAACTGAAAGCTTCCTCTGCTCTCCCGGCAAGGTGTGCGCCTGGGCAACCAGTCTAAAGCCACCGCTCCAACACTCAAGGCCAGCTAATGGTAATTTCTTACCAGACCCCTCTCACCAAGACTGCCTAGGGAGGGATATAGATTGTTGAACACTAGAAGGAGGGCTACCAAAAGACTAGACCTTCCCAGTGGGTTACAGACGGATGGCAGACAGAGAGGGGTCTCTGCAGCTCTGGGGGCACCCTCCCAAATGTAAACATCGCTAGAAACGTGGAAAGGGCTTTGTGAGATCAGAACACAGCAGCCTGAAGAGCTAAGAGGATCACAGAGATGAAACCATGCAAAGTATCTGTAGGAAACTGCTTCATAGTCAAAGATCTGTTAGTTCTATACTTAATGTTAGGGAGTTCTGTGATTAGGAAATGCCTTTATTAAGCCTCTACTTACAGGATGTTTTTCCATAGAAAATCCAATTGCATTACAATGAAATTATTCACAGAGAAGATCAGAATTTGCAAAAGTCTTGCTTCCCATTTGAGAAAATCATAAATATTTCATTTTGGATTGGCTTGGCTTTTTTTCTTTTGACCTATGGTATTCTGTTTTGAATCAATTCAGCAGTATATAAAATTGCATTTTTCATCACTTCCTTACAGAAATGATAGTCGTCACACAATATTGCAGAGATACAAGGCCCATAGTACAAGCTGGGGAATACATAACTGATAGATTAAAGGAGATCTACACTCCAGCAAGTAGGTGGACCCAGAGGACAGGAGTGGGATCAGGAGCATCAGGCTCCAAAACAACAGCCTCCTGATCTGAATCAATGAAGTTGAAAGGTTCAATGACTCGTAACCAAACAAGTGGGTTGCTTTACAAATAGAAAGGAAACATTTCACTTTCGGCAATGCCCCACCGTATTCTTTTGATAATTTTTTAAAGGCTTGTTTTCTTGCAAATTTATTTTCCCCTAAATTTCTGTTTCATGAGAAATTTCCATTTTTATTCCCTCTCCGGAATGAAAATAAATGCCGGAACTTCCCCTGGGATAAAACATCCAAGTTTCACTTACTTCCACTTTGCTGGCCTGCCATTTCAGAGGCTATACTAAAAACCTGAAGAACCCACAACATTAGTATGATCTTAGAAAAGCCTGTGCAATTAGGAAGTCTCTGCCACTCATTCAGGAGGCCCTCACAGAGGAAGATACAGCGACTGTGTTTCACACCGCAAAGATTTCCAACAACAACTCTGTGTGGTGAAGCCTCGTGGGGTAACCACCAATTTGAAACATCTAGAGCAAATTCTACACATTTTAGGTTTGCCACAAAATCTGAAATAAAACCAGTTTCCAACAGAAGGCTTTCAATGAATCAGACACCCAAATTCCTTGGAATTTTCAAAATAAGTACTTCAACATATTGACTTTCTCATGTAATTTGGACATTATTATACAGCCTGTTATATAGTCATATGGTTTTTAGAACATCCAAAATATGACAATGATTCTAATTTTCCAAATATAATTCTGCTCAGACACCTCACAATGTTATTTTAGACATGCTGAGATTAAGATTGCATGTAAATATCAGAATTGCAGTGATCATGCTATTGCAGCATAAGATATCTCCAATAGGAGCGATCTAGGAAAGTTATCATGGAAAAATATGATTACTCTTTGATGTTTGACAGTAAGGTCAATGTTTTCCTCTAGTAATAGTTATCTCTTTGTTTATTTGCATAGTCTGTGCTTGCAAATACTTTGATTACTTCTGCATGGAGGTAAACCATTAATTGTTCCAACAGCTTAAACCGACTCATCAATTTTATGGTATTCAAAACTTATGACAGCTTACCAAGCTTGCTCATTTATAAACTAAAACAAAATTCTATAAATTATATTCTGGTTACTGTCATGCTTATTCATTGCGGTTAATGAAAATAGAAATGTAAATATAAGTAACCTAATCTGGATATATTGTGATTATATTTTTTTTCCCCAGAAAATTATGCTTCATAAATAATTTATCTCATGATGCCTGAAACACACACCATTTGTCAAAGGGATGCTTTTTATTATAACATTCATCTATCCAAAACCTTACATAGGAATGGATGTGACAAAACTTATTTTAATATTAATTTATTTATGGATTTATAAGAAAGCACTGAATACCTAACTTACATATATTTTGCATTCATCCGAAATCCAGTATTGACCTTTAGGATCACCAAGATGTATTTGGCATTTATGTTAAAAGATTCGCTTCACCCAGTTATACCTATTCGGCCCTACTTCTTGTCAGATTACCACTGCGTATCTCTTTCACGGGCAGCATATCATATCACATAGGAATTGTACAAGGTTTTATAGGCATTTAAGTATAGAAGCTTAAAAAAAGTTATTTTTTAAGACATGAGTACCTGCTATAAAAAAACACACATACTTTAACTACTTTCTTCATGATGAAGATAGTAAAAATACAGTTGCACGGAAATAGTTACCAAAAAAATTTGCAGTGTACATAAATGAATGACAAACTCCTTTCAAATTGCCACATATAACTAACTTTGTTGCTTACAAATCTAACGAAAAAAACCTATATGCTTTGCAAAGTCTAAACGAGTACAGCATCCTCACTATCGCTTTTAGGCAAGCACGAGCCAATTTTTCAATTGCAATCAGATTTCAGAATAAATAAAAGGCTATTTTAAAAGCTGATCACTCACCTTCATGGATTTTGAAAAATTCAGGTAAACATAAAATAAACATGGTAATTATTCCTAGTATAAATCTGAAGAGTTTTGTTTTTCTCAAAAGCAAGCACATGTCACTGAAGCACTCCCACCTAGCATAATGGTGGTAACTTCCTTCCTGGTTTAGCTTTTAACTTAGTGCCGACTTTACGCAAAATAACGTCTCATTTCCTTTTTCTAATATGACTTTTCTTTTTACTTCTCGTCACGTTTAGTTGTAGAGAGCCAAGTTCTGTTCTTACACTGGCATAGATGAGGATGATTCAAATGAATACGCTGTAGATAAAACTCATGTACCATGATGGAAATAAGAGAAAATTCATGCAGAGAAGCTATTTTATTCATTTGGGGTAGTTTTGTTTCAAGAACATCACCCCCTAGTGGCCACTTTCATCTACCTTAAAAACAGAAATGAATCATCTTTTTGAAGGAATTTTGTTCCCATTTGGCCAAGAAGATATTTAACAAATGAGTCAGACCCTCATTATAAAAGTGAGTCAACCACATGAGTCAGATATGCAGATTTTATTGTTTTATTTATATACATATGCATTTGGGCTGGGGAGAAGATTTTTATTTTTTTTTGTAATACAGAATCTCTAAGGCTTTAATAGACTATTAATTTGATCATTACAACCTAAAGTTTCTGATCTGGCAAATAAGTGATGTACTAAGTACAATGAACTGAGTGTGAGATGCTCATATTATCATTGCTGCTGTATTCTTAAAAGACAATAGATGTGCTGGCAATCTTTAGGGTGTCTTCACTGTGTATGTTACTATCCTTTACACGACAAAAAGACTGGATAGAACCACTACTATTTCTATGCAGTGTAGTCCCATTTTTTCAGCCAAACTTTCCAGTTTAAAAAGTTAAGCCTTTCATTCTGACAACCACCATGATGCTCCATAAATTCTTCTTACAGATGAGACTGCAAAGAACGTTTCTGAAATGTTCTGAATAAAAGTAGTCTGAATAACACATACGTTAAAACAAACAATTTGACTCAAATATAGAGTATATACAGTATAAAGGATTTAATTAATTCAGAAAGCTCTCTTCTGATGTAGTCTTTTTCCCACAACGCATTAAATATTGAGTACTACCAAAATGAAGCAATGCTGTTGAAGTTAAAATAAGAAATTTCCTACAAAGCTGAAATGACCTTCTTCTCATCTAGTTATGTCAGAAGCTGAGTAAGCCAGGTGGAAGCAAATACAGTATTCATTCTAGAGAAAGACTCTTCATGGAGCCGTAGTGAATATAACTTTGTCAATATGACATTTTAAATGTAGCACTTTTATGCAGTGAAACCAAAGCAAAGTGAACTGATTTTTCTGACAGTATGGTGCAACAGAAGCAATAGGATACAAAAAATCATAGGTATGAACTTACAAAGTAAAACACACCCACTGCACAATTTGTATTTGTCATCAGTTAGCAAGTTAGCTCTACTTTTTGAGAGACTGCCCTGCCCCTGCAATATCTTCCATAGCAGTTATTTTTATATTTTCCTGTTTTCAAGGTTGCATGGTGTTCACCCATCCTTTCTGCCCAGAAGCAATGGAGAGAATACTGGAAAATAACAGGAGGACTTTGTCAAGTAATATGTGTCTCTATCCCATTCTGATACATTCAGATGTACATCGTTGCTGGTAGTGCTCAAGGTCAGAACAGACATTGCACTAGAAGATCACACCCAAGTTCAGCCCCATATAATAACAGCCTGTGGAACATGTTATAGAATCATAGAATGGTTCGGGTTGGAAGGGTCATTAAAGATCATCGAGTTCCAACCGCCAATGTTGAGTTTCAGATTCTACAGAAGGTTTCCCAGAACTCTGCAGTAAACAGAGGGGAATATCAATTTTCACAGAATCACAGAATATTCATAGTTGGAAGGACCTTTGAGATCATTGAGTCCAACCACAAAAAAAAAAACAAACCTACCACCAAAACCACACTACACCCACCCACAGACACAAACCAACAATCCTGGACACTACAGCATACCCTCAAGTGCCATGTCTACACATTTCTTAAATACCTCCAGGGATGGCGACTCTACCACCTCCCTGGGCAGGCTGTTCCAGTGCCTGACCACTCTCCCAGTAAAGCAATTCTTCCTAATATCTAATCTAAACCTCCCCTGCTACAACTTCAGACCATTTCCTCTGGTCCTGTCATTATTCACTTGAGAGAAGAGCACAACACCACCCTCTCCACAGCCTCCTTTCAAGCAGTTGTAGAGGGCAATGAGGTCCCCCCTCAGCCTCCTCTTCTCCACTAAACATACCCAGTAACTAAACATACATAGTTTTAGAGCTATTGTGATGGCACATATTGTATGTTATTTTGTTTCTGAATTCAGGAGACCCATATATAATCTGTCTACGCATTGTCTGGGGACACACTAAGCCTTAGACTCTATTATCCTTAGGCAGTTTTGTGTGGGTAAACGAGCTGAAATCATGTGTGTGTGTGCGGTCTGACCCGCCACTGGACATGAAGAACATGAGTTTTCCTTCTTGGGGACACGCTTCCCTCGACCTAGCTAAGGAAAGGAAAAATTAGTACCTTTGAAAACCCTACCTTTTGCTCAAAGTTAGTTAAAATTGGCTAAATCATTTAAAGTCAGCCGGGATGAGCAGTGGCAGAGGCAGCACACAGCCACCTAGGCCGCGTTTCCTCACAGAATTAGGCGAGGAAAGCACTGTATATACCTCATTAGTGCATCAAACTCACACCGCCACGCCTCAACAATGATCTCGGGCGCCCTTAAATCAGTTTTATCCGTGGCGGGCACATCCGACTTGTCACACAGTCGATTAATTTGGAAAATTATTCTACCTTTGGCTGGCAGAGGTCACCAGTACGGCGCTGCCTAACAAGGCTGGCGAGGGCTGGAGCCCGTTTCCGTGGTGAGGCACCGGGCTGCCTCAGCGCCACAGGCTGCCAGGAGCCTGAGGGGAGCTTAACGGTCGCCTGGTGCGTCCCGGCAGATTTACTTCACCGAAACGGGAGAGCGGGAAGCTACGGGAACGCTTGACTTTGTGTGTGTGGAAGACAGGCGGGGGTACCCGGGGGCAGGACGAAGCCCTTCCCGGAGCTAATCACGAGAATCCCCTCAGAAGGGGACTGCCGCTGCCCCGCCGTGAGGCGGCGCGGGCTGAGGGGAACGGCCCCGCC